CGATTGCCGGAAACACGTCCATTCCTTGTGCTGCGATAAGGGCACACATAACCCGTTCCGCAAAGAGCAGGTGCAATCGCGCCAACAATGACTTCGTGTAACAACTCGTTCTTTGTTGCACCACAGTATCACGAGCTGACAGTTGCGCGAATCAACGATGCCCAAAGTCCACAAATTGTAGATAAATTGAATGATACGCATCGTCGCCTGGTAGTTGTTCCCACGAAACGTGCAGAAGACGAGTCTAAATCACAACATCACCCTCCAAAACGCTCGAATCAAACCAGTCAACATTGCACTCACTGAGTTATAAGGGGGAGGCTTTCTCCACAATCTTATCCGAAATGGAGGTGTTCAGCCAAAGCCTCAGCAACGCGAGCATTCTGACTATCGTCGTAGCCCTATTAACCGCGCTCGCCAAAGAAATTGTCCAGCGCCGAGACCCAAGCTATTAGTATGTTGTGAAGCAGCTGTGTGGCGACAATGAGCTGACTAACGACACGAATAGAGGTGTCCAATAACGACTATATTTCGAAGACAACAGCACGTTCTCTCGCAAGGCGCAACAGGCGAATATGACGAATAGGACAGGCCGGCACGAGTCGAGCGTTCTAGATAGGAGAATTGAGCTTCATTGAGGCCGACCCTAAAGTCATCAACCCTAGACATCATGCGCCTTCAGCATCGCCATAATTCATGCTCCTCGACACACTACTATGATGCTATACAACATGGCACATGTGGTCTGCGGACGCGATAATGACTGATGAAATCATTTACCGGTTTATGCCCTACTTTTATGATGGCGCCCATATCGAGAAAAGAAAATGAGCGAAGGCCAAACACGCAGAGGAACGCAGGAAATATCAAAGCTATGAATACCTGAAGTACAAGTGAAGATCTCCCAACAAGTGACGAGTCAGTAGAGCGAAGGTAGTGATCCACGATTGGCGTCTCTGCTCGTAATGTCGACAAGAGCACACGTTAAAGCCCAAGCGGAGAGACTGTGAGTCCGCGGAGAGACTGTGAGTCCGCGGAGCATAATTCACCGACCCATTATTACCACATTCTAGCGGTTGGCACTCGATATTCCTCTTGTCCTTGAATAAGCGGTTCTGTGCGTCTTTCTTGTACGCTTACCAAATTGATATTGGTCTGGACCACATTCGAAGGTTCATTAATAGCATTGTGCGCCACAGCCCTAGCACTCGATCTGCGCTTTGAGATCGGTCTCGCGTCTCGAAGTGCCCGTTCATCTCTCGCTCTCTCCAAATCCTCGTAGCTCATCACCCTCGCTGTTCCGATGACTTTTGGTCTCGTTGATCGCCGTACCCGAGCTTCGCTGTTGGTCTTTTGCAGGAAGTCGTTGCGCCGCTCGAGCAGTGCGTACTCGGCGAAAGAAATTTCAGCAGCTTTTGATAGTTTCTGAACATGCTTCTGTAAGCGGTGGTGGGAACCGCTGTCCAGATCTTGTACATCGCGTCGGATCACATCGCGCAAAGCTGTGATGCCTGCAAGATCTACCGGAGTTACAGGTGTCATGGGTATTGTCGGTGTGGATGGAATGGTTGGTATTGACCACGTTCGTATATTGGCGTCCTGCTGGCCAGCCGCATCCCCATTCCCCGATTCTGCTATGACAGGAGGCGCAGCGCGGTGCGGCAGATCACGAAACACTCTTTCGGGACAGAATGGGAACAAACCTGCCTTGGACCATCCTGCGCGGATGTTCCGGGGCGTGAACGCGATCTCACGCGCATGACAATACAACATGGTGAAGTGCTCTTTGCCGATCGTTCCTATGCCGCCTCGCTTGAGCCGTTCTACCTGATCACGATATGCTCCTTTGAGTGGACCGAAGATGGAGATGTCACATGGCTGCAGTTTATGGGATGTGTGGGAAGGCAGGCGGCAAAGTATGATCTGGTGCTGAAGAGCGGACTCAAGGACCACGAGGGTTTCGTGGGTGCCAAAGCCGTCACAAATCAGCACACGCGGTCGCTGTCCCGCTCGGTCTCTCGTCTGCGGATCAAACACCAGACGAAGCCACTGCAGGCTGAGATATGAGTCTGTATATCCGCTGTCGGAGTAGGCATAATGCCATCCAGGTGTAGGATGAGTCACCCAGTTCGCTCGGTGGGCGGCCGCGGGCCAGATGATCATCGGATGTAGATATCGCCCGTCAGCACTCATACACTCGACTGCTGTC